AGTGCAAATGAAAACTTAATGGTATTGGAAGGGAATTAAATTTAAGAAACTTATATTTGCTTCAATGTACTAAATAGAATCACATCCGCAAACATAAACTCCTGTTGCTCAGGAAACTGATGTCAATTGAGGGAAATTCAACCTTATATTGGCGGAATTTAGAGAAAAAGGGGGAAGTCGGACTATCGCAAAACGTAAAAGTAGGTTATTGTTATAAGTCAAATATAAAAAGGACCTTTAAGGACAATCCTGACCAAAATACATTTAAATTTATAATAGCATCGAAAATCGATGCGACAAATTTCTACCATTCGTGTTTTTACGAATACGGTTTTTGTAGGCGGTCAACAAGAAGTGCATCCAAAAGCCGGCACCCTGACTTGCGTGAAAGATCTTGTGGTTATTCTGCATGCTAACCCCTTCTGGTGGAAAATGCATTTCATTGGTCGTGGGTCTCCGCTGGGTACGCTTCGGTGTACGTTTAAATTTCGGCCCATATGAATAAACCTGTAGAATCGGTTTCTCCACAGGTATGCCGCCGGGGACAACACAGACATTTACGTGGAAATACAAACAGGCTGGGCTTCGCAGAGGGTAGCATGTTGCCAAATGCTATGATGACCATTTACTCTTCATATTGAAGGCTTCCCTCTATTCGCACACCGCAAGCCCTAATCTGGCGATTTATAGATTTCTATATTCTCCCCCTCATTCTTTACTGCTCAAGTTATTCTTCCAGCATTACTTAAAAAGACCTGATCATTTTTAAACGTATCTTCCGAATGCCCACTTCAGCTGCCGGTGTTTCTTATGTTTTTTTTTAGCTGACACTATAATACAGCAAAACTTTAAAACGGTCAAGCAATTTTCTGACCGCATTCTTGGCGACGTCGCTCATCCTCTAATGGCTGCGAAGTCTTCCCGTAGAATGCGCCGAAGCTTCCGTAAATCGGCATATCAGCACTCTATACTCCCATTCCTAGCACGCTACCTCACATGTGAAGAAACGGAAATTGAAAAGTTGAAAGCTGACCTGTCTCCTAATAGATGTGGATATCACGTAAAACTTTAATTTTGAGTATTATATGACCTTTTACCATGACCCCTTATTTACCTTATCCTTTGCTCTCCGTGAATGGAGCCATTTTTGCAGAAAGTTTAGGATTTTCCATTCTAAATATAGCATTCCTCTCTCTCTAAGTACTTTTCGAAGTCACAAAATATTAAGTGGATTATGAAGAAAAATGGACTGAATTAGCATGAGAAATGTTAGCTTAGTTTAAATCGCAGTCTTTTATCTCTCAAGGGTCCTAATGGCCTTTTCCGTTCTGCTGGAAGAACAGTGATGAGCATGGAGGCGTCATCAGCCATCCTTATAATACAACAATTCTACCGTCATATTCGACGAGACCCATCATGTGCTTCACTACAAGGTGGCACAGAGATGGTGATTTGCGCTTGAATTAGATTTTAGTGAGAGTAGGCTTGCGCTGCATTAACAACCAGTTGCGCCTAACCCTCAAGCCAACTGGGTCGGCGACGTCGCTCATCCCCTAATGGCTGCGAAGTCTTCCCGTAGTATGCGCCGAAGCTTCCTTCCTATGTCCTGCCGTACATTGGCATATCAGTACTCTATACTCCCATTC